AAATATATAACCTGGATATCAGTGTCATATTAAAGGTTTTAATGCTGCCAATTTTCTCTTATTTTTATTCTGTTTTTAAAACTGAGAATTAGTGTGACTAGAAATTCCAGCTAGAGACCAGCATTTCAGAGTCAGCTGCCTATTAAAAATCTGGTGTTCTCAGAAACCCAGATAGAACTTCTCCTTCAGTAGCTCAGAGTAGGGAAGAGTTGTGCCCAAGGTCTCAGGCTGTGACTGTGGGCTTGTGACTCTCAACTCCCCGTACAATGCTCTTTCTTCTCAGTGTTTTTTAGCCTATAGTCTGGTTCAGAGATGAACTCCCAGGTACTGGGCCAGGTCCTGTGACCCAGCTGAGATGATGCACACCATTTTGTTTGTATGTGCTTTTGTACCCATTTTTAAAGAGAATCCATACTTTCCATCTAATTCTTATAGAGATCAGTGACCCAGAAAAGGTATAAGTCCACTGTACTTGATGTAATACTACCCTTTAAAAACTACCAGAGTAAGTTAACTCTTGTATTCCGTCATATCTACATCAGATGCTTCTAGGGAAATTCTTTAGTTAAGATTATTCCATAATGGGTGGATCTTTCAGACAGTTAGGCATAGTTGAAACACACAGCAACCAACACATCTTACTGTCAACTTAGACAAATTTGGTAGGCACTCACACATTAAAATAACTTTTGTGATTCAACAGCAACAAACAACAAAGGGCTAATTAGGTATTATTTTTCCTTGTAGCCATTGTATTAGTTAAGGCAGAGACGGGCTGGAATCTTTGCAGAGAAAACCTGAAAGCACAGAGGCTAACTTAACAGAGGTTTATTTTTCACACATATCACCATCTCATATAGGTCTTCAGTGGCCTTTTTATATGGCATTTCAGGAACCCAGACTTCTTGTATCTTGGGGTTCTACCATCTTTTTGGTTCTTAGAGTACTTCTAACCAGCAGACAAGAAAAGAGGGAGAATTGAGGACAGGGTAAAAGGTTTTTATGGAAGTTGAGTTCCTAAGCTCTGCTCATGTCCTACTGGCCAGAAATAAGTCATTTGGTGCCATCTTGATACAGGGGCAGTGGTGGTGGTGCTTCCTAGCAAGTCTACTTTATGAGGAGGAGCACAAATCTTCTTAGGTGGGCAATTGCTACTCTGCCACAATCAGAGTGAAGCTTTTAAGGATCCTAAATCTTAGAGATGGATGAAGTATCTGAGATGAAACTTTCAGACAGTGCATGATCTCTACATGTAGATTATAGTCTTCACTTACCTGATATCTTAGGAATTAAGGTGATCCTTAGAAACCTGAAGTCAGGATTGACTGAAATACAGTGTAGTTAAGATAGGAAAATTGCAATTTTCAGGTAACTGGAGATTGTATTTTATTTTACATTTTAGGGAGTGACACAGAGCATAAGGGCCCAATCTGGATTTTGAGCTGGTTTACATTATAATGAAACTTGTATAATTATAGCAAAGAAAACTCTCCATTTTTGCAAACTATTGCTACAAGTTTAGCTTTGTTATTGCATGTTTACCCTTAAAAATGATTTTGTGCTTAGCAGAAATTATAACAGCACATGCCTTTACCCTATGGTTTTTATTTTCTATGTGTTACTTAGTTGCTTCTTCATTATTTTTGCTTGTTTTATGAAAGCTTAACCTTTCTCCTCAAAATTTTGTATGATTTTTTTTTTTCTGGAATTTGGTTTGGCTATGGTATGAAATTACCATAAATTCGTTTCTCAGCTTTTTTCATTAAGATGCTTTTGATGCCATATGGTATCAGCATTGATGGCATGTGAAGTATATTTCTTCTGCTGCTTACAATGGAGCACCTCTGACAGGTGACTTACTGTTCATTTTTTCATCTATGAAATTCTTTTGGTCCAGTGTACTCCAACAATCTTGGAAGTAAAATTGAGGGCTAAGTAGCTGTCTTTGGAGGTTGAATTCCTTATGTGTTTCACCCAGTGAAACCCATTGCTGGAACTGGATTGTACTATTCCACAAAAGTTAAAATTGGAAACCTGTTCTAACAGCTGATGTTACAAATTAAATATATAAACTGACCATTAAGACATTGTATTAAGGGATGCCTGGGTGGCTCAGTCAGTTAAGTGTCTGACTTCATCTCAGGCCATGATATCATGGTTCATGGTTTGAGCACTGCATTGACCTCTGTGCTGACAGCTCAGAGCCTGGAATCTGCTTCAGATTCTATGTCTCTCCCTCTCTCTGCCCCTTCCCTGCTCATGCGCTCACTCTCTCTCTCTCTCTCTCAAAACACAAAAATCCAAACATTAAAAATAATTACAAAAAGACATTGTATTAAAACTCATAATTTTCTGTTTTTTGTTCCATTTTACTGTAATCTATGTTCTTGAGGTTATTACATTTAGTTTGTCCATATGGTAGAAATACTACACAGTGGAGTGCTATTGTGTCTCTCTTCCCAACATTGCACTCAGTGATACCACTTAGGTACTTTGAAGTTGGCCGTGGTGGGTGCTGGTTGTTAAATGTTTACCAGGAGCCCACTGGACTCACCACACAGAGGTTAGATTCTTCATAGCATAACGTTGAGGTTTGAAAGAGAGAAGTAGCGCTAGGGACATTATAGATGTTCAATAAAGGAAAGCAGCTTTTTAAAATAATAATATATATAATATAATATTTTATTTTTTAAAATTTATTTTTGAGGGGGGGTGGAGAGGGAGATACAGACTCCAAAGCAGGCTCTGAGCTGTCAGCACAGAGCCTGATGCAGGGCTCAAACCCACAAACTGTGAGATCATAACCTGAGCTGAAGTTGGCTGCTCAACTGACTGAGTTACCCAGGTGCCCCTTTTATTTTTATTTATTTAATATTTTTAAATGTTTTTAATTTTTTTTTTTTTTTTTGAGAGAGACAGGGGAGGGGAGGAGGGGCAGAGAGGGAAGAGGGAGATGCAGAAGGGAAGCTGCTTTTAAGGTCATTCCTTTGGAAATCTCTGCCATTACCATGCAGCCTAAAAATGACCAGTGTTGCTGGGGTATTTGAGACCAGAGTCTCCAAAAAAAACACAGGATCTCTTTCTGTCTCTATTCATAAGATAGGTTTGGTAATATTTGACTCTGTGTCATCCAAGGATATGTTAGGGAAAAGAATGTCTTAATGTGAGACTACATTGAATAATTAGGAAGCACTAATTCAGATTCTTCTCAAATTAGAAGTTGAGAAGTAGTTTTGCACAAGGTTGCTGTTTGTGCCAGTAATGACTTTGGGAAGAAAATATGCTATATTCCAGAGCTGTAGTGGTGATGCTCCAGTGCTGGTCCCTAGACATGTGCCATGGTCCATGACCAAGTCTTTTTGGACCACTGGCAAATAAGAACAATGTAATGGGATATATTTTATTATCCTGGGAAGGATTATCTTTTACTGTTTGATTCTGTTTTTCTGGCAATATTTACATTAATATGTTTTGTCTTTATGACATGGTGATGATAGTAGATGGTAGTGGTAAAATGAGAGTTAATTTCAATACCTTTCCTTGGAAAAAGCTAGAAATCATGTTGGTTCTCCTCTCTAAAGCCTGAGGTAGTTTTTTGCTTGCTTGCTTTTTGTTTTTAATGTCTGTGGCCCAGTGGAATGTGAAGGCCTAGATCTACTTCATTTTGAATTTAAATGATTTTTCTGGAAGCAAATAAGTCTTATGAAATTACTCCATAGGTGACTTTTATCAGCAACACGAACATATGTGAGCACTGTTGTTAACTCCTCTCATTGCCTACTTTCATAAAACTATTGATAATTATTACTAAGAAAATCAAAGCATAAACTGAACAAATCTTATCTTTCTTCCCTTAAATAGTTTATTGTTAAGTTGGTTCCCATTTAACACCCAGTGCTCATCTCAACAAGTGCCCTTCTCCATGCCCATCACCCGCCTTCGCCTCTCCCCCACCCCTATCAGCCCTGTTTGTTCTCAGCATTCAAGAGTCTCTCATGGTTTGCCTCCCTCCCTCTCCCCAACTATTTTCTCCCTTCTTCTCCCCTCATGGTTCTCCGTTAAGTTCCTCCTAATCCACCTATACATGCAAACATATGGTATCTGTCCTTCTCTGCCTGACTTACTTCGCTCAGCATAACACCCTCAAGTTCCATCCAAGTTGTTACATGAACAAATCTTATCTTTATCTCTTCTGCCAAGGCAACTTTCAAAGTCTTGACAAAACTGTTCTTTGGAGAAGAGGCATAAAAAAAGTGAGCCTTCAAGGTTAAAATTGTAATTATGTTGTTTGCTTTTTACCTAAAGTTGTATTTGTCATATTCCAGAAGTTCTTGGGTCTGCATCTGGCTTTAACCATTTTTGTGTCCTCTCTAACATTGTTGATATTAATGCCAATTTTAATTTCTTGGCATCGTGAGTTCATAAACATATCACACACAGATGTGATTTTGAACAAGGACTGAAACTGTAAATTAGGAAGCAAGATATTCACAGGGTTTCATCACATCAGTTCACTCCAAAAAGTAACACAGTTGTACTGAAAAGGTTTTAAATTGCTCATTTCAAACCTATCTCAGTAGCAGAATGCCATGCGTGCAGTGGATTTGTAACCACGTTAGTCATTTTCTTTCCTCCGTTTCCATGCTGTGTTTGTATTGGGAGCACAGAGTAATGTAATTTAGTAAATTATGATTTGATGGCTGGGCAACAGCCCCAGTGTTGAACAGTATTTGGACTATGATTACTTGCTGGCTTTGTCACAGTTGACATTAATTATTGATGGAAGTTTCAGAAATAGCGCATGTGCCAGGAGCTTTTCACTGGAACGCAGGCTCCAGGCAGGAGTGATGCTAAGGAGGGTGGGGGAAGAGGCACCTGTGGCTTGTTTATGTCTGTGCACAGCAAACCTGCACCCAGTGGGCTCTGTGGTACCTGTGTAAAGGTCATGGTGTAACGGAAGGATGAACCGTCAGGCTTATTTCTATCGTGTTCCTCCCCAGGAATTGCACCGAAGAAGCCAACTTCAGCCGGAGCCAGCCAAGACGAAGGCTCTCCAGACTGTCATTGAAATGAAGGTAGGAGCTGTTCACATTTGTAAAAAAAAGCTGTGCCTCTGGAGTTTGTTCTAACTTGATGGTGCCTCGCATAAACACTTGAAATGAACCTTCTGTTTTTCTCTAGGCAGCCTGTGGGTGCTTTTCTGTTGGATCTTTTTGCCTTCTTGGGTATATTTAATTTATTGGCCCTTTAATTAGGATGCCTTTTCTGAGCAAAAGAATAAAGGCTCAAGTATCCCTTAACTGAAAGGAGGTGGGTTCATTTCCAGAGCATGGCCAATGCTTTCAACTCTAGGGGAGGTTTTAAAAAGAAATTTTAAAAAGTGTGCTTTAAAAGGAAATTTCTAAAGCTAGAATAATTTTTCCCCTTTTCATTCACATTACAATGAAAAGACACCTTAAGGTTTGGTAAAGAGAAGTTGACTTACATTTAATGAAGTGGTTAAATGATTAAAACTATGCTATCAGCAAAATATACTTTTCAAAGAATAATATTTTCCCAGGAATCCAGTATTTTCTCCTAACCAAGTCTGGAAGTAATAATAACTTATTAAATACTCATAACATAGCTGTGGAAACATAGAGATATGCTATTTAAAAGAATCAGAGATCCTCCTGGATGGATTTAGAGCATTTAAAGAATAATGAAATAAATGATGATGGCTAAGCCATGATGTATGACTAAGAAACAGATCTAAATGAAACCCATTGCTTTGTTAGTATCTAGAAATGTAAATAAAGGGTTTTTACTTTCAGTGTTTGCCAGAGGGAAGCAAATAGTGTTTATCTGAAGAGTAAATAATTCTTGATTTAAATTGTTTCTTGAAGAAAAAATATCATGATGTTTGCAGTCTAATAATTCCATATTGAGTTTAACACTTGTGAGTTTGCTGGTCACTATTAGCCCACAAGACAACTCTGAAGCTTGCTGATAGGATAGGATAATGATTTTTCTGCCTTTTATAGCAGATGATTTTGAATTGTCTGCCAAAAAAATTGCTAAGTCCTGGGGAAAAAGAAATTAACACCAGCTATTGAATTTTTGACATGTATGATTCTGACTTTGGATTTTTTAAGGTTGTTTTGTTTTGTTGTGTGTGTGTGTGTGTGTTTTGTCAATGACAATGTCTTCATCCAAGTGAATTTTTGTGGACGTAATGTAGAACATTTGCTTTACAACTGTATGTCCCCCAAGTGGGGTTACATGAGTTACGACACTCATAATGCATTTGCAGCAAGTTGTTTTGAAAAACAAATCAAAGGAACCAAATGCCAATAAGATTGAACATTACTTGCTAATCTTGGCTCATCAATTCATTTTGAATTTATGTAATTTGAACTTGTTTTGAAAAGAAACTTATCATTCTACACTTGTGGGGGAGTGTTTCATAACTGAGATTTCTTCCTCACTTTACATTGGAACCAAACCTAAAACTTGGGTAGGGCTTTTTCTTTTTTTCTCTCTTTTTTAATAAAGAAAAGAAAAGAAAAAAGAGAAAATATTTTATTTTTTTTGCAAAGGGTCATTCAATCTTTCTTCCACCTACCTGCATGCCTACCACTCTGGTCTCTGGCACAGTTACTAATGGAAAAGAGGATGTATATAGAATCTATTTCCAAAGTATCTTTTTTTTTTTTTTTTTTTTTTTTTTTTTTTTTTTTTTTTTTTTTTTTTTTTNTTTTTTTTTTTTTTTTTTTTTTTTTTTTTTTTTTTTTTTTTTTTTTAAAGAGTGAATTCCAGGAATCTTTGGAGAAAGCAGGAATGACATCTCTCCAGGGCATTGGACATTGTCTTTATAAAGGTCTCTATTCAGACAATTAATAATTTTTGGTGACTTTTAGAAGTAGAAAATCTTTTTAATTTCTGCTATTTCTAGTATCATATATTTTATTTGAAAACACTAAAAATAGTAAATAAATACACTCACTTATGCTGTCTACATGGGAAGGCATAAAAACATGATTTTTAGGGCAAATCCACGTTCATATATTATTAGTAAATTGAGTCTGGAGTTTTTCTTTTATGGATGCCCATAATGCTGGCTTATTGAACACGTTTTTAGGACAAATGATGATCAATATACTTGTCAGGACATTGAGCCAGGAGCTTTTCTGTTTTTTTGGATGCATATTAATTTACAAAGCACTGCCTTCTGTTTTGTCAGTGGAGAAGTCTGGGTCCCATTAGTATCTATACTTACCGTACATAAATTGAGTTAGGGAGGCAGATGGTAGAGGGTCACCTTTTCAGCCATGTGTGTATCTTGTGACAGAGGCTGTGATCTCATCTGATTGTCTGTATTACATCCCTGTGAAATTGTAGGGAATATTAGAAACCCATATTTTACAAACCTTAGGGTTGACTGTCAAATATAACTCACCATTAAACTTCATGGGTGGAAGTCGAGATGCTGTTGTGTTTGAACTTAAACACCTTTGGTTAATCATTGGTGTCACATAGTGCCTTGGCAAAATCCAAGGTTAAAAGGAATTTTCCTAGAGAAAATTCACCTGGAGTTTCAGGGAGATGACATGAATTAAAACTAACAAATTACCTCTATTAGTCCCTTGCTTCTTAGAGAAACTGAGGGTGAACTTCTCACCCCTAATTTTTTCCGCATATACACTTTGCATCAACTTGAGAAAGTTGTTTATAGTGAAAATTTGTGAAACTTTGCCCTAATTCACGCAGTTTTTGAAGTAGGGTCTGGTAGTTCTAGGATATCTGTACATGCCCCTCTGTATAAGGAGACTTATACAGTTGTGAAAATGTGTCTCTGTGGAAAAGCATTGAGGGCCATCTGCCAGCATCAAAGTGGGAATAATTCTCTTGCAGCCATCACATCTACTGTAGCCAGTAGAGCCAGGGGGGATAAAGTCACCTGAATGAAAATGAAAGGAAACAAAATGAATGAGGTTATTTGTGATTTATCTTCTTGCAGGGAGCTCCAAGTTTTAACTTTGATCCTGATTTGCTCTGGCAGGTATGTTCCAGGTTTGCACTAGGACACTGTGTGTGTTTCTGTGAGAAATTAGTTTTCTTATAGATGGTGCACTTCTCCTCCTTTTCTTGCTTTTGTGTCTGAAGATTCTTTCCTAAGCTCCTCTTCTCTGCTCTTATGGAGAACTGTCAATAAAAAGGGTAGTGAAAACCTTTTTCCCTCTTTTTTTCCCCTCTGTGCTCTTAATTCCTTTGATAGAATGTTTTAACCTACTTTTATAAATTTGACATGACATAAAGAATTTCACTTTCTTTCATTCATTCATAAAACTGTATCCAGTTTATTTTTAAGAAAATGAATTACAGTAATAATGGTACTTGTCAGATAACCTTAAAATTGTTTTATTTGTTAGCTAGAACTTCCAAGTGAATGAAAATCTAATTCAAAATGGCTAAAGCCAAAAGGAAGTTTAGCGGCTCACTCAACTGGAGAAAGCAAAGTATTGCTTCAGGCATAGCTTGATCCAGGGACTCAAAAGATGTTAATGGATCCTATTTTCTCTCATTCCATTTTGTAGTTTGGCTTCCTTCATATAAACTCATTTTCAGACAGCCCCAGTCTGCCTGTCTGAGCAAGATGGCGGCAGCAGCTATAACAATCACGAAAGGAAAGGATAGGGAGAAAGTTGTGTTTTAAAAAAATGCAAAAAAAAAAGAAACCAGTCCCTGAATAATGATAATTACTGAGTTGGAACATAAACTTCACTTGAAACTTAACCGCCAAGACTAAAAAGAAAATGCACAAAACCTTATAGTTCTTATTTGCTTACTAAATTAAATGGCACTCATTCATCAAGAAAAACAAACTTTATACTAACACTAACTTCAGCAGAATTTATCAAATGGGAACTAAGTGAGTAACATTAAGGGCTTTAGTAAAAGTTGCAGAAAATGTATTTGATCTGGTGAACTTATTATCTAAAGTGGATTAAGAAGCTAAGGGCATAATGTCACTGGGTGACAGTATTTCTGTGGTAACTGAAGTGAGGATTGTGGATATTTAGCTTTCCAGTCACATGACCAGCCAGGTATTTGTATGTTGTAATGGTTCTACTTCAGTAATATTTGTCCTCATGAGGCTTCTGTATGGAAAATGAGCATTCAGCAATTCCCCTTGAGCTTGACTAAATTGGTGATTTGTAGTTGTGCTGTTGATCAAAGAATGACTTTGAATTTAGGTGCTAAACTCCAGTGGTGAGGTTGATCTTTTGATATTTAAACTAAGGACCAAGACTTATCTTTCTGCTTATTAGGCAGGTGACTGCTGGTCTTCTGCATGGGGTGAAGCTAATCTGCAGTTGTGTTAAATTTCTTTTAAAAAATATTCTGATATTTGGTCCAATTCAGATGTTTCATTTCCACTAGGCATGGAAGATATGCACTGGAACATGGAGAAGGTAGTGGCAGCTTTTCCAAAGGTTTCCCCCTTGAGTTTTTAGTCTTGTCCTAAAGTCTTTATAACAGTTGGAACATAACTCATTCAAACTTGCAGAGCCCTGTGTTTTTGATTTGCACTGTCCATTTATGATACCAGAAATTATCCTTTAGCTTATTTTTTTTTCTTGAGAAATTTCTTCATCTTCTCATCTTTCAACTTAAAAAAAACTTTGCTCCATTTAACTATTTTCCTTAAATAAGGGAAAAAATGTGGGTTTTAAGTGATAGCCAGAAAAAGCAAAATGTCAAGTTAAATGTTAGCTCTGGATGACATATAGTTGTTATTTGGAAGCAAGGAAGACTTAAAAAAAAAAGATGAGACTTCTTTCCCTTTTTTGCCCAAACTCTTCTTATGATGTGTTTGAATATTTGAGTTGCCAGTCAGTAATTCCTGCTATGAACAGGTTTCATTTGTGTGAATGTAACTCCTGAAGTTGAATCACAAATACCTGTGTTTACTGAGTTACTGTTTTGTACACAACACCATGTGGACCTTTCAGAAAAATTAAGCATTCATTTAAAATATTTTTAAAATTAATTTACTTTTATATGTTTATTTTTGTGTGTATGAGAGAGAGAG